CTGCCTTTTTGCACTTCCAACTAACAGCTTCATAATGAACAGGAGTTTTGTGCATTTGTGATCGATCGCGCTGTGGTTGCACTTCATGATGGCGTTCACCCCCAGGGCTACGCTCGGGAACTCTACCAATCCGGAGGAGGAACTTCCGATTTCAGCGGGAACATTCGCACTTGCGACGGGTGGCAGTCCTTGATGGTGAATGCAGTCAGCAGCAGATCCTCGGACGGCATACGGGTGGGGTATTGAAAAAGATTTTTGCTGGCCTGGGAAGTGATTGTTTTGGAGGCGCTGTAGACCTTGAAGCTGATCGAATTGTCCTGCAGGGTGTACGGGTTGGTGGACTCTGACAAGTAGTTCTGCTTGGAAAATTGGCTCATCTGTTTCGGGTCAGCGGTGCGTCCTTCATCAGTCCGACGTGTGTTCCGGCCGGTTTTTGTTTCCAGTTTTCCGACGGATGATGCTCGGGCGGTGAAAAATTCGGTGCAAATCCGTTTCTTCCATCAGCTCCCAAAAGAGTTGGTTGACTAATGATTGACGTTCGGTGTGCGGGGTCGGCCTTCCGCCGAAGATGAAAAGATCGTGTAGCAATGGAGCTCGTCCGTCGTCCGTTGCAGGCATCCCTGGAGACGGATGCATCTAGTGTGTAGTCTCAACTGGAGCCGGTGTCGTTTTTGAAAACATTGAATAACAAAACAAAAACAAGAGCTTTTAAAAAACCGGGTTGCCAAACAAGGCATTATTCACAAGCAATCTAATGTCAGTTCAATGACTTTTTGGCACTGCCGGTACAGCTGCGGCACACTGAGGTACACTGATAAAAAAAAAGTTGGCGCAAAACAAGTGTGTAGAGTGACCACCCCTTGGACACAACCCTTTATTTTTTTTTAAATTGTAAAAAGTATTTAGACTGGTCTCAATTTAATTAATACTTCCTTCGATGAACACATTTTTTCTTGCATTGCCATGGTCATCTGGGAGGAGGTATGCGTCTAGTGCTTTCCCCAGGAACCTTTCGTGGCCACCAGCTACCACCCGTCCAGTCTTGGGCGTATTCAGCGTGACATCTTTCAGATTGCTCGCAATCCCCGACACCGGCGAAAGACCAGCAGCCGAGCCCTTGTGCAAGCGGAAAACTTGCTGATTCACGGCAACCAACGTCGGCCACCGAATCACCACCAAAACTCGCGACGGGCACATTATCAGCACGTTCCCGGGCTAAATCACCAACCAGACCGAGTTCCAACTCGCCCACGGTGAGGAATCTCTCAATCGAACTACGGCTCCCTGGAGGCAATGAAAACCGACACCGAACAATGGAACTGAATATGTCTTTTTAGTTGTCATTCAGTGCGGACGCGTTTTCAATTTGCTCGTAGCCACGTGCGTTTTCGTGGTATAGCACATTCTTTTATTTTTGCGTGCTCTTCGTTTTTTTTTATTCTTGTGTGTTATTTTTGTCAAAATGAACTGCGAAATTTGTTCACTGGAAACTAGCGTCGATACGGAATTGTGGAGCTGCATCGGGTGTGCGCGCTCATTTCATGCCACCTGCGTGGGAGTCTCAGTTCAACGTGGTTCTCTACGGAAAAGGGACAAAAAGATTGATGTTCAATCTTACGTGCTACCGTGCTGTAGTTCTTGCCAAGTGCTCGTCACGTTGGAATTTGATCTTAGATTGCTAATTGATCAGCATAAGGCCTTCGAAAAGAAACTGGATACCAACACGCAAGTTTTGCATCGACTTGCAAGCCAGAACGAAAAATCTGATTCAATTCTCGAAGCGATCGCAGCCTGGAAAGTTCACTGTCCACCTTAATAGAATCGGTGTCAACTGTAAATAACAACACGACGTCGAAAGTAAAAAATGCGGTGTCGACATTGTCGCGCGGTCTTGAAGTCAGATCCAATGAGGTCGCTGGCATTAAAAACCACCTGACCTCATTATTCAATATATCCATGGAGACGATGAGAAACCGCATCGAGGACTACGTTTGTGATCTTACGGGGGATTTGCCACGTGAGCTGACGAAAATATGTGATGAAGTGACAAATTTGAGCAGTCTAACCATGGACATGGCTGCGCAATGCACTGAACGGTGTTCTACTTCAAATGTGTTGACTGGAGAGTAATGTCTTGCCGACGCAGTTGGTGGGGACATTTTGAATGAAATTAAATGCCTTGCCTCTGTAATTAATACTATGGACGCACGTTTGCCGTCCCCGCCCAGCCTAATGGGCGAATTGAACAACAAAAACTACCGAAATAACAATGATGCCGCCGACTCCGGTTGGAGGGTTTTGGGCGACAGAAAGGTGTGGAAAGCTGATTGGACGGAGTACGATGCTCGAAAATCGCGACAACTGAGCCAGAAAAAGTTGGCTGCAAAGGCTAGTAAGTGGAGGAAGCAGAAAAGGGCCTACCAAAAAATGTTCAAGAAAAATAACAACTCACACAATCGTAGCAGAAACAACAACAACAACAAAATCAACAACAACAACAACTACAACAGTAACAACGACGACTACAACTGCAACACCAATCACGCCAACAACAACCACAAGAACAAAAACAACCACAACAACAACAGCAAACATAGCATCAACCACAACAACAACAATATTGACAACAACAACAACAATAACATATCTAAAAGTTATCGAAACAACAACACTAACCGTAACAGTTTCCACAGCAGTGTTAGTCAGAATAGAAACAACCTACTGCCACCTGATCGAGAGCTTCTTGCGGCAGCGAAAGATCGGTTTTCCAGGCCGCCGCAGACTAACTGTCGACCCACAATGCAATTCCAACGAGGGGAAATCTTAAACTCCTACCCGGCGTGCGATGTTTACCCACGTACCGTTCCAGCGCACTTGCAGAACGGGATGGCTGCAACTGCATCATGCGAGGCGTGTGTATGCAGGAATTCGTGTTTTATACGAAATGGACGCACCCCTTGGAGGAAGACAATGATCCGGCAGACCCCGACATTATCCAGGACTTGACGACTTCTCTACATCAAGGAGAGGCACTCGTTTTTTCTACAAAACTGACACGCTCCATAGAGGAAGAAAATAACGAAGATCACGACACTTTGCAGAACGAAACAAATTCGGAACATGGATCAGGGGTAAATAATTTTGATAATAGTTTTATGAATGACAGGTTACCATCAACTTCTTCACCTAATCTTCAGACCAGTACAGAAATTTTGGTATATTGCCAAAATGTTAACCGCATGAGAAGCGCCGGTAAAATGAATGAAATTAACAAAAATATATTAAGTTCTACTTACTCTGTCATAATGGCTAATGAAACAAGTTGGGATGATAGTGTGAGAAGTGAAGAAGTTTTTGGTAACAATTATAACGTTTATAGAGACGACCGTAATTTTCAATGGTCTGGAAAAAAATCGGGAGGTGGAGTATTAATACCGATTTCGACCCAATTGAATGTGTTCCGCCAGTTTTTATGAAAGCTTTAGCAACTGAACTTACTGCTCCATTATTTTGGATTTTCAATATGTCACTGGAATCCGGAAACTTACCTAAAATATAGAAAAACTCGTTTTTAGTGCCTATCTTTAAATCGGGCAAAAAATCCGACACACGTAATCATTGTGATATAGCTATTATTCCGAAACTTTTCGAGGCGATTGTGAATGAAAAACTCTTTCTTCAAATTAAAAACAGAATAACTACTATGCACCATGGCTTCTTTAAAGACCGTTCAACAACTACGAATTTGCTCGAATCAATTAATTATTCCTTGAATGCAATGGATAACGGAAAACATGTAGAAGTGTTGCATACAGATTTCAGCAAAGCTCAAGTGGCTTGAATCATATTTAACTGACCGCCATCAAATAGTAAAATACAAAGGAAAGAAATCAAATCCCGTTGATGTCACTTCAGGAGTTCCTCAAGCCTCCCATTTAGGACCGCTTTTATTTGTTCTCTTCGTCAATGACATATCTTTCATTATTAAGAAATTGAAAGTTTTAATCTATGCTGACGACATTAAACTTTTTTTGGAAATAAAAGATGCCAAAGACATCATCACATTCAAAGAGGAAATACAGATATTCCATACTTAGTGCCAAAAAAGCCTGCTACAATTAAATATAAAAAAATGTAACTCAATTACCATTAGTAGAAAACGAATCCTACCCGATATAACAATCACTTTAGGAAACCATATCGTAGAAAAGTGTGATAGAGTCAGGGATATAGGTATTATTTTGGACTCAAAACTTATTTTAACCGATCATTATAACACAATTACTAACAGAGCTAACAACATGCTTGGTTTATATAACGTTTCTGCTATAACTTTCACGATCCGTATACGATAAAAACATTGTACATTGCTTATGTAAGGTCGATATTAGAATATTGCAGCATAGTTTGGTCTCCTTTTTCAATCACACACGAAGAAAGAATAGAGTCCGTTCAAAAGCAGTTTCTATTGTATGCACTCCACAAGTTAGGTTGGACTGTATTTCCTCTGCCATCTTACACAGCTCGGTGTATGCTTATAAATATCCAAACATTAAAAGAGCGTCGTGAATTTGCTATGATTTCTTTCGTAAACGATATCGTATCACACCGCATTGATTCTATAGAACTATTATCATCCTTAAATTTATATACACCATCTAGGCATTTACGAAATAGAAATATATTTGCTACAAACCGTCATCGTACGAATTATGCCAAATTTGGACCCTTGAACCAAATGATGGATGCATATAATAAGCACTGCGATAACATTGACTTTACAATGACAAAAACCAAATTAAAGCAATATTTTAATTCCTCGCATAACGTCAGCTATAAGTAATGTTTAACTTGTTCTCAAGACATATTATAAAAATATAAACAAAGACAAAATTGTAAAAAAATAGCTCTTAAGACAACAATTGTAAAACGGTCTACACTGATTGACTAAAAATAAATAAATAAATAAATAAATAAATTAAGTTGCGTCTTAGATTTTGGAGGCTATATTCAAGGTCAACCAAGTCACTCAAGGCAAACACAGGCAAAACACGATATATCACTAAATGATATCTTTATGGACAGTTGAAACTAAATTTCAGCACACAAATTAACAAATTTAACGCAAACAATGTTTAATTCCCTGACGAAAAACACGCAACAAAAGAAAAACACGTCATTATTTAAAATAGTTCCAGTGCGCCATTGACATTTTGGATTTTGGTTCCACTTGACATACAGATTAAGAATATGCATTTACCTCAATACCCTTCAAGAATCCTATTACCAGGTCGAAAACCGCGTCTTCAGTAAATAATACCTTCCTGTCACAGTGGAAAGCAGTTCCTTAACATGCCATTTCCATAGCAACGCCACCTACCTCTATTACTTTGTTCACCCATCAGAAAACGTCACTCTTCCGTAGACCACCAAATGTTAACAGCACCGGAGAACACGGACAGGAAATTGAAATAAATCATCACTTAATACTTAAAATTCTGTTACACCATATGGTGACATCGATCCCCAAACCAATGCAGCATCTCGTTCGACTCCCACACATGGTGCAGCAAGGAGCCTCTTCTCTCTGTATTTATGGCAGAGTAGACCACTAGGTTTCCTGAATCCAACCGGCAGCCACGTTCCGAACGAACGACCACGTCTCTCTGTCTCTGCTGGCTGATGCTTATTTGTTTATAGGCTAAATGCCCTCCCGGTGTCCCGATCCGACCGCGTCACAATTTACTGGATCGATGACCATAGGAAAACTGGCCCCCGGCCAGTCCATCCCCAGTCTAATTTAAAGCTCCCGGCCATAAATTGATTCGTCCGTCGTCGTCGTCGTCGTTGCCCCTTTCTGTGTGACGATGGTCAACTGCAACTGCGAGAGGGCCCGGTACCGAGGTCGAAATTTATTCCAGCTAATAGCCCCCGCTGCTAGGCTGTATGTACGGACACATATACGGAAGCGGACACTGTGTTCACTGATTTGTTTATTCGGACTTGGTTCAGTAACATCACACCGAGATTTTTCCCCGCTTCCCCATCGGTCATCATGCTGTCCCATAGAGGTTTATTTTTGTTTGCGATGTCAATTTTGTCCTCGCCGTCTCTTTTACCGAATGGAGTCGCTCCTTCTCCAAGCATTGACTACTACGATGGGAGGATGATAGGGGATGCTCATTTTTCCACGACTTTGTGCACTACATTGAGATTCAACCAGCATCAGCGTGGAAGGGGGACTGTTGGTGAATGCTGGAGACGCACAAAAAAAAAATCCGTTGGGAAAACATGGTGGCAAAGACAAACGCGGAAAAAATCTCCCCATAGAAGCGGGAAAAAAGCGCCGTTGTTTGCGAAAATAATCGTAAATCAAACCGACAAGGCGCTTAAGCCGTTTGGCCAACGACGATGACGACCCACGGACCGACGGACACTGCGCGGCTTTTTGTGGATTCTCGATAATTGGTTCGATTTTTGGCGAATGGGATTTGAGTGCTTCACGGGAATCGGCATTTGTTTACTGTTTTTCACTGTTTGTTTGGAATTGTCCATTTGAAAGACATTGGGAAACGGAAAATTTTCATCTTTACATCAGTACTCCGCATTTGACCGTTGATATTAAATCTATCGGATTTAGTGGTCTCGTGCACACGTTACACGTTTCTTTGGTATCAGCAAGATGTTCTGCTTGGGCTGGAGCATCAGCAAGGACGGATCTAGCTCAATTTCACCATCCGGCACGGTAGAATCCAGAACGAAATCATACCTGGACAGCAGTTCCACTAGCGCCATTTTGGCCATCACTTTGCCCATTCGCAAACCTACAAGAAATATCAATTTTCAATGTTGGAATTTCTGTTCATTGTGCCGCTTACCAATGCAAATTCTAGGTCCAACTCCGAACGAGTAGTACGGCAAGCTGTCACCGCTTCGCTCGGCAAACCGATCCGGGTCGAACTTCAGTGGATCCTCATAGTACCTCGCATCATATTGCAGCCCCAGCAAAGGAATATGTATCAAAGTTCCCTTCTCCACCACGACTTCCGTCTCCGGAATCTTATACGGCTTGGTGCACTTTCTGAAAAGAACCGGCGAAATCGGGTACTTCCTCAGCGTTTCATCGATACAGGTCTCCAGGTAAGTCATCTCTCCAATAGTCTCATAACTGATCTCGCGACCTTCTAACACGCGGTCGATCTCTCCCACCACTCTTGCTAGATGCTCCCTATTCCGACACAACTCAAACAAACAGAACGTAATCGTCGAAGAAGTGGTTTCATAACCCGCATTCAGAAACACAAACGACTGCGCAGCCATTTCCTCCACGGTCAAGCTCTTCTTATGATCCACCTTATCCATCTCCCATCGTTCCGTCAGCTCCACCTGGTTCCTCAACTGTACCAGCATCTGTATGAAATCCTTCCGCACCACACCTCCACCCTCCCTACGGGCAATCGTATCCCGCACCAGCTCCAGCATGTACTCTTCCACGTCGTCATCGACCAGCTTCACCTGTAGGAACCGATTGATTTTCGGGGCCACGAATGCCATAAGCATCCGCACGGAGGTCTTCCAACTTTTCGAGAAAAACTTCATACCCAGCCGACGGAACACCTCGTCCGGTTTCTCCAAACTGTTACACTCCACACCGAATCCTACCGAAGCGATCACGTCCATGGTGAACCTGGTCATCAAGTCGCGAATGTCCATCGGTTGGTCCAGATGACGATCGATCACCGTCGACAGCGTGCGTCCGCAATCCATCATGGTTGGGAACATGGCTTTCAGCTTGGCCGTGGTGAAGGCCGGCGACAGCTTCCATCTCATGCGTCTCCACTTGGCACCGGCCAGTGAAAACAGATGAGCACTCAGAGGATCACGGCGCTCGTTGACGTGGACACCACGGTCCTGAAAGTGTTCAAAATCTACGGTCAGAATCCGTTTGACCAGCTCAGCATCGGTGATGAGCAGAACGGGCTGGAATAGGGTGTAGATTCCGGCAAAGCGATACCCCGATCGGACGGCCTGGTTGTACAGATCGGCGGTACGTTGGGCATAGGATTTGCGTTGCTTGAACGTGTCCGAGACGTCTCCGAAGGGGAACGATGGGTTCAGCTGAGGGATTCCTCGGCGAGTCCAGTAGGAGTAGATCCATTTTTGCAGGAGAAAAATAGATCCCGCTATTAGGAGAATTCCGATCAACATCGTTGGATTGACTGGTTAAGCGGAGCGAAGTAAACGTACTGAAGTGTGACTTGCTGGTGCGCAGTATGACTCGTCGGTACTCGGTGCTTAGTTTGTAAACAGCGCGAAAAGATGCCCAATCATTCAAATTGTTTACAGCGTTATCATCCGATTTGCTGATTCGTGTTGATTAATTGTAGTGATTACTCAATTGCGCCTATCGACGTAATTATCAATCTGTTAAGCGTAGTAATGTAAACCAAATTAAAGCAAACCTTATCAATGCATAATACGCTGTAATGTGACAACACAGGGAAGGGAAGCCTGTGTTCGACTGAATAGGAAAGTTCCACTAAGGCACTTCCAGGACAAATAGCAAATACAAAATTGAATTTAAGACGCAATTCAATTTCCATGATAGGGAAAATGGCTCTAATGTTGGCCTATCTAAGATTGGACCCATCGCTACAAATCTTCTATTTATCAATATAATCTAGATGAACGTGCCATTGGGACGGTACTAATGGATATTTTTGGTCGCTATTCAAAATTTAGTCGATTGCTGAATTTATGCCCATATTAGGGGAATTTAGGTCGACATTACATCCATTTCCCTACTTTTCAAAATTGTTTGTCATAAGCAATCATTCACATTTGTGCTGGGATTCAGGTAAATTTTAACCCTCGCCTCAAATTAGTTTCGTTAGACGGCGATATTTTTCTCTGAATCACAGCCTGAAAATGTAACGTCTAAGATGAAATTGTATGAATATACAAACTCCGGAGAACTTCGAGATTAGGGCGTAATTGCTTTTGTAAACCAATACGTCAATCGCCGATTTCTCGCGAATTAAAGCTCAATCTAAAAATTAACAACAGAAATTGGTAGAGGAATGATTCTTGTTGCGGCCATCCACTTGATAGTGTTCTCCAAATCCAAAATTAAACGCACTAGACACTTCGAGGTGATTTAAATACTATTTATTACTTTAACCACCACTTTATTACAAGCTATCGTAACACTAAATTCAAATTTCCTAGGCTCGAGTAGATCTAAAAACGGTCGATACAATCCAAGTTTGGTTGGTTTCAAATCTTCTTCGGCTCGGCTACATTCGTGTGTTATATTCGTGTCTATACAGGCCAATGACAAGGCCTACACCAACATTTGACAGTAGGCAGCATGTCCCGGGCTCAAATCTTTTTTCGGAATACCGCTCACGCCAAAGTCACGAGTTCAAATCTCACCCCCGGACAAGTCACGAATGACCCAAGAGCGTTAAAGTGACTATAATAAAAAAAACAAAAAATTAATAAAAACTTCCGGAAGTTAAATGATGTTTAAAATTTTTTCTCGATTCCCTAAGAATTACTGGAAAGAGCCAGGTTGGAAAAGGAGGAAATGCAAACATTAGTCAAAAGAGTATCAAGCATAAAGCATCTTTAAAGATGATTTTTTTAAATTTTGAAGGCTCAAAAAATATGAGGTATTCAAAAAAATATAAGTCCCTCACAAAAATGTTCTCCGAAATTTGAGCGCGGGCAGGCAATAATAATTTTGTTTATTAAAAAAAAAATCGGTATAAATCGGTATACAATCTTAAAAATCGATATTCTGAGGAACCTTATCTGTATATCGGTATCTAGTTCGGAAATCGGTATAAATACCATTAAATCGGTATATCTGGCAACGCTGGCTTGCGCACTGTGCATGTGTCAAAATTTCAGAACGAAAACAGTTTCGCCTTCCACCAGCTTTTGCAAAATTTCCAGCGGTATATAAGGCTGAACCACGAGATTACATCGTCCCATCTTTCTCTGATTGTTCGTCAAGCAGTTCAGTCCGGTATTGCTCGCTCTGTCGAGTTGTTCGATAGCTTATTCCAAACGTTTATTCGCGTCGTCAGTAGTGTCGGTCGCATCGTGTGATGGGAAGACAGCGCTCCCGGAGCAGGCTCCGTGAGAAAGCGTATAAGAACAGTGGTGAGTGTAGCACGAGTGTACCTATTTCAAATAGGTACGCTACTCTTCCCACCGATGTTGGAAATACCACCTCCGCCACGGTGAAGCGATCCAAGAAGAGGAAGAAAAACCAAGGCCAGTCCGATGGTGCGAGTGGACGTGATGACGTCACAGCAACGAACGCCAGCGACATCGGTGATTTCGGCGACGCCATCGACAACGAAAATGAAGCTATGAAGCTATCTCCGTTGGTAGTGAAAAATGTTCATCTTAATGAGCTCATCGCGGATCTAGCGACGCTGGGCGTTAAAGCCGAATACAAGTTGGGCAGAGTCGGCACCAAGGTGGTGCTCCGTACCAAAGTGGAGTATGACTTGGTCATCGCCCACCTGAGGACTTCCAAGGCGGAATTCTTCACCCACGACATTCCCGGTGAGAAACCATTCAAGGTCGTCATCAGGGGCCTACCAAACTTCGACCCGAAGTTTATCGAAGCTGAAATCAGGGTGTACCGGTCCCTGCTGGCTCCCAAGTGCCGTCTATCGGATGACAAGAAGAGACGAGAATGTGAAGGCGTATCCGGATAGCCTTTTCCTGGTACACTTCCAGAAGGGAACGGTGACACTCAACGCGCTGAAAGCCATCCGCTCCATCAATTGCATCATCGTTCGCTGGGAGCCATACCGTGGCGGCCATCGCGATGTGACTCAGTGCCAACGGTGTCTGAACTTTGGACACGGCACCCGCAACTGCAACATTAAGCCACGCTGCGGCAATTGCGCTCAAGACCACGCTACTTCCGACTGCCCTGCGGATGGAGCTGTGGTGTTAAAATGCGCCAACTGTGGTGGTGCTCACCAAGGTTCCGACAGACAGTGCTCCAAACGCGAGGACTTCAAACGGATCCGAAAACAGGCGGCAGCTAACAACCAACCAGGACGCAAGAAGGACAAAGTCCCGGCATTTCGGACGGAGGATTTCCCGCCTCTTCGTGCTCCTCAGCAAAGGCAAGCGAATTCGCGGGTGCATTCCGCTCAAGCAACTTCTGGTGATTCTGCTGGCCAAAGCTCTCCATACCCCCCTGGATTCTGGAGACAACCACCAGCGCAAAACAACAACCCCGATCTGTTTTCAGCGGATGAACTGATGGAAATTTTCGTCAACATGACCGGTGCTCTTCGAAAGTGCCGCAATAAGCCCGAACAGATCCAAGTGCTCGGTAAGTTCATCATCCAGTATGGTGTCTAAACCGCTAACCATCGCTACCTGGAACGCTTGCTCTGTAAGAGCAAATCAGATTGAGCTTGCCGATTTCCTCCGCAAGCATAGCATCGACGTGGTTCTTCTAACTGAGACCCACCTAAAGTCCGGTGACAGCTTCTGGTTGCCTGACCACAACATTATCCGGCTTGATCGCACCAGCTCCGGGGGTGGTGTAGCGGTCATCGTCAGAAAGGGAATCAAGTTTTGCACTCTGCCCCACATCCGCACTTCTATCATCGAGGCCGTTAGTGTGGAGGTGGAATCACCAACTGGAAACGTCCGGTTTATCGCTGTTTACTGCCCACGCCAGTGTACCGCCAACAATGGACTAGGAACTCAATTCAAGAACGACCTGACCGCCATCACTCGTACTAGCTCCCGATTCATCGTTGGGGGCGACCTGAACGCCCGCCATGAAGCTTGGCGGAACTACCAGCGGAACCGGAATGGATGTCTATTGTTCGACCACGCACAACATGGACTGTACACTGTGCAGTTTCCGGACGAACCAAGTTTTATCTCTCCGGCGGGAAATCCGTCCACCCTGGACTTTTTCCTGTCAAATATCGTACTATCCAAGCCGGAGGCGCACAACGATCTCAGCTCCGACCACCAACCGGTGGTGACTGAAGTCGGTGTCAACGTGGTTCCTGCTAGAAGCTGCCTGCGTAAAGACTACCACCATGTCAACTGGGTGCAGTACGGACGAATGGTGGACAGCAACATCGATGAAAATCCACTGCTCGACACCGTGGAGGACATCGACCGAGCGTTGGAAGGACTCCACCAAGCCATAATCGTGGCTGACGAGGCGTGCGTCCGACGAGTTCCTGTGAGGGGTAAGTTTATTGCCATTGATTCCCACACCCAACTTTTGATTCGCCTGAGAAATGTTCGTAGACGCCAGTTTCAGAGGACTGGAGATCTGAGCAAAAAACGTGAAATGGCCGATCTGAACAGGCAGATTGCTTCCAGAATGGACTCATTCCGAAATGAAAGTTTCGGGCGTGTTGTCCAGAATCTGGACGACCGCTCCAGACCATTCTGGAAGGTAGCCAAGGTCCTGAAAACTCATCCCAAACCCGTTCCACCTCTCAGAGTCGAAAATGATGACGATCGGCTTTTAATCACCCCACAGGAGAAAGCAAATGCGATCGGCGAGCATATCGCTTCATCGCATTTGCTTGGCTCGACTATCCAAAGTCCGCTCGATGATCAGGTTGCGCAATGCGTTGAAAACCTAGATGTCTCCCCTTGTGTCGTGCCTCCGGCGGATATGATTACAGTACAACAAATTTGCTCAGCGCTGAAATGCACCAAGAACATGAAGGCCCCCGGGTTTGACGGTATATTCAACTTGATCTTGAAGAGACGCAGCATGAAAGTGCAGTCTCTCCTAACCGCTATCTACAACAGATGTTTGGAACTGCACTACTTTCCAAGCATCTGGAAAGTAGCAAAAATCATACCAATCCGCAAACCCGGTAAGGATCCAACATTGTCTTCAAGCTACAGACCAATCAGCCTCCTTTCAGCGCTGAGCAAATTGTTCGAGAAACTCATTCTCAATCGTTTGCTCAAGTTTGTCGAGGAAAATAACATTCTCCTTCCGGAACAGTTTGGATTCAGAAAGGGGCACTCCACCAATCACCAGCTAGTACGGGTGATGAATAACATCCGAAGTAACAAAGCTGTATCCAAGTCCACAGCCATGGCCTTGTTAGACGTTGAAAAGGCGTTTGACAATGTTTGGCATGATGGACTTGTGTACAATAGGGTGCTTCATTCTGGAAAAAGTGATGAATTTCTGATGGGCCACCCTCCAGTTCGATTCATAGCCCCAAAATATGAACCTGTGCA